CATTTTGACGATTTTTTCAAGTGTAGTGTTCGATCCATCTCAATCACCGATTTCACACAACAGCTTTCCACCATTAGCCAATGCTGTATAGGCGCTTGAGCAACGCAGAAACAGACCATGCCAGGTCCATATAAATTCAAATGGTGTTGAAATAGTGCAAATAAAGTCTTACCTTCCATAATGGGGCAAGATGAGCAGCCCTAAAGAAATATTAAGAAAAGAAAATATATTCTCTCTTTTTCTTTCTTTAGGCATCGATAAAGTACAACTTTATCGACTTCTTTAGATAAGGAAACACTCAAACATTTGCAAAGAGGGCCCATTGGTAACAGAGGCGGCCCACAAGCCATCTCCAAGCCCTGTGTCCAAAGGATCTCAAGAGTTGAGGACTTTTATTTTCCTCTAAGGCACAAAAAACTGCCGAGGAATAAAATTCGTCTTCGGCTCTCAAGAGTCCGATGACTTCAAAATTCCTCTAAGGCACAAAGAGCTTTCAAGGAACAAAATTACATAAAAATTACTACGAACTCAAAGAAGTCAAAGGTTAAATTGTCATGTAAAATCCTCTAAGGTACAAAGAGCTGTAGAGGAATAAAATTCGTCTTCGGCTCTCAAGAGTCCGATGACTTCAAAATTCCTCTAAGGCACAAAGAGTTGCCGAGGAATAAAATTACATGAAAATTACCTCAAACTCAAAGAAGTCGAAGGTTAAATTGTCATGTAAAATCCTCTAAGGCACAAAGAGCTGCCGAAGAATAAAACTCGTCTTTGGATTTCAAGAGTTCGAAAACTTCAAAATTCCTCTAAGGCACAAAGAACTGCCGAGGAATAAAATTCGTCTTCGGACTTCAAGTGTCCGAGAACTTCAATTTTCATCCAAGGCACAAAGAGCTTCCTAGGAATAAAATTCCTCTTTGGACCTCAAGAGTCCAAGGACTTCAAAATTCCTCTAAGGCACAAAGAGCTGCCGAAGAATAAAATTCGTCTTCGGACCTCAAGTGTCCGAGAATTTCAATTTTCCTCCAAGACACAAAGATTGCCTAGGAATAAAATTCATCTTTGGACTTCAAGAGTCCGAGGACTTCAAAATTCCTCTAACGCATAACGAGCTGCAAAGAGGAATAAAATTCATCTTCGGACCTCAAGAGTCCGAGGATTTAAAAATTCCTCTAAGGCACAAAGAGCTACCGAGGAATAAAATTATATGAAAATTACCTCGAACTCAAATAAGTCGAAGGTTAAATTTTCATGAAAAAATTCTCTAAGGCACAAAACAGTGCCGATAAATAAACTTCATGCAAATTACCTCGAACTCAAATAAGTCGAAGGTTAAATTACCTACACTGCTTCCATCAAGGCATATTGTCCCAGCTTTTCAAGTGACATATAACAAAGGCAAAACAAAAACAAGACATATTTTTCTTTCCTTAATGGGGGCAATACCTTCCATAATGAGGGCAAGATAAGTAGCCCTAAAGAACTATTAAGAAAAGAAAATATATTCTCTCAATTTTAAATCCACGGACCCACGAGTCCGAAGAAAATATATTCTCTCACTTTTGAATCTTCGGACCCACGAGTTCAAAGACCTTATTTCACTTTTGAATCTTCGGACCCACGAGTCCGAAGACCTTTTCTCACTTTTGAAATCTTCGGACCCACGAGTCCGAAGACCTTATCTCACTTTTGAATCTTTGGACCCACGAGTCCGAACTTTTGAAATCTTCGGACCCACGAATCCGAAGACCTTCTCTCACTTTTGAATCTTCGGACCCACAAGTCCGAAGAGTTCCTCTTAGGCATGAAGCCAAGGATATCACAAGCCTCGGACCCCAAGATTCTGAAAGAATCAATAAATTCCTTTAAGGCGCACAACCTAGGAAGCACAAGCTTTAGACCCTAAGAGTCCGAATGTATCAATGTAAATACAAGCCTCGGACCTCTAGAGTCCGAAGGCATCAATAAAATTCCTCTAAAGCGAATACAGAAGCCGAAGAGCTATAAACTTCGAATCTTAAGGGTCCTACATTAGTAAATTCCTTTAAGGCACATGTAGAGGCCGAGGAATTACATGTTTCGGACCTCAATATTCCGAAGATATTAATAAACTACTCTAAGGCATATATCACTGTCAAGGAAAAACATGATTTGGACCACAAAACTTCAAAGGAATCAGTAAAATACATGTTTCGGACCCCAAAGGCCCGAAGGCATCAATCAAATACCTCGGATCTCAAGAGTCCGAAGACATCAAAAATTCCTCAGGCATATAGCCAAGGAACCTCAAGCCATGGGCATTTTGGTTTACTACAATTACCATTACAATTCATTAGCTACGATTAATTCCCTCTAGTTATGGCTATCACGTCAAACAAAAGGGAATTGAGGGCAAAGTGTGGAGGGCAAAAATCTCCCCTTCCAATTAAGACAAGACACATCAGCACATAAGGGGACCACCACAAATACTGAGACTATTCAACTTTCATATTGGGCTTCTACAAGAAGCATGGGCTAGGTTAACTAATCATAATGGGCTGAACTTATTAAGAAGGCCCGAGATGATGAGACCCCGAGCCCGAGCCCAGGTACGAATATATTACTAAACCCATTTTAGTAATAGTTCTATTAGAAGAAGAATTATAATTTATGGAAACCAAATAATGTAAATCCTTGTTATAAGGAAAATATGATGTAATTAAGATTCTTAAGGGACAAGCAATGCGAGTCCTAAAAGGAATCGATTATGGTTTTCCCTATATAAAAATGGCTTAGGACCCTCAATAGGGGACACACACAAAAAAGGGCAAAGCCTTCAAAAATAGAGATCCAACTCTCCTTGTCAGAACTACGTTTTGACCTGATTCCCATGCTCCATGCGGGATACGTAGGCAATCTAGGTAATCCTATGTTCGGTCATATCATCAAAATACCCCCTCATCTCTATATAATTTATCTAGTTCATTGTTTGTTCTATATTATTATTTTGAGTGTAATAATTGTAGAAATTTCGTTGACTTGTCAAAGTCGAACGAATTTTTGCACTTACAGTTAAGGTCACCATGAAAGTGTGATGAATAGGGGCAGAGCTGGTAGGGGCAGGGGTAACCATGGCCCCCCCAAAAATTTTCAAAATTTTTTTTAGTAGACCCCAAAATATTTATATTATAGATAAACTTAATTCCCCCCTCCCTAAATATTTTCAAAATATTTATTTATCAGCCCAAAAATAGAGAGTGAAAATAAATTTAACTTAAATTATATATGCTTTTGAAAACTTAAATCTTGTGAAATAAAAAATGTAAGTTCATTATTATTGCAATCCATACACCAAATAAAACAAAGAAAAAAAAGAAAAAAAGAATGTTACTTCATTTGCATATAGAAATATATAATATTCATTATATAAGTTTAGGAGAGAAAAAGAAGAAAATTATACCAATGTCTCTCATGTCTAATAAAATAAATAAAATTTTCTTCCTGGACATTAATAAGTGAAGTGAAAGTAAAAGAAAGTGAAGGAAAATTAAATTTCCAAGTCAATTTGGTTAGCACTTCAAAAAAAATGATTTTTTTTTTTTTTTTGTAAAATTATCATTTTATGGTTAAATATTATTTAATAAATAACATATAATTTTCCATAAAAGAAAGCGCATTAATATTGTAAGTTCACAAAACTTTCTCTGCAAATCAATTTTATTTTTATTTTTATTTTTATTTTTTTTTTTTTGTGATTTTTGGAAAAAAAATTTATGGGAAAATTAAATGGTTATGGAAAGTGATTTTCCTCAAAATTTTTCCTTTTCCTACTAACCAAACTCCTAAAATATTTAAAAAAATTCCATTTCCTTTATTTTCATACTATTTCCATCTAACCAAATGAAACCTAAAGATGGTTTTTACAAGAAAATTATTTAGAATTATATATAAATCTCTATTAACAAGTCTCGAGAGGATGAGAAGAAAAAAAAACTAAAATATTGTGAGACACAATAGTAAGAATGCCAACAACAATAATGATATTATATATGTTAATATTTTTAGTTATAAATAAAAAGTTTATAACTACTGCTCACTATATAATTTATTAAAGTACTTCTCTATTTTAATAATAATAATTTCGTTTTATTAAAACTTGTAAGATTTGTTTAGTTAGAATTATTTATTAGAGTTTTTAAATCTTTCATCAACCTAATAATGATATATATTTGTCAAATTAGAATCAAAGTATTCAAAAAAAAAAATCAAAAATCAAATTTTCTTTCTTATATTAGTTTCCATATATATATTTTTAGGTTGCACTTTTTTTTTGAATTATATATTTTCAATATATAAGTATATTTACACACCTATTAAGATCAATATTTATATAAAAATATATATTATAATTATTTACATTTTTTTAAAAATTTTACATAATACTAAATCGCCCCCCAAATTTAGATTTTTGGCTCCGCCCTTGGTGATAGATAATGATGCAAGTATTTTAAATAATTACTTTGAATAATGCTTTAGTCTAATATTTTCTTACATTTATGTATAAAATACATATTTATTGTTTGGACAAATGAGCTCCAAGTATATATTTTATAAAAAAGAGTTATTGTAAGAAATGCATGAGTCTAAATTATACAGCCAAAAGTCTAAAAAATGTTAGAAGAGATTTTTATGTCAAAATATATATTTTTCAACACTATCTATTAGTAGTATTGTTTTTTGTTTTTTTGACAACATTGATAATATAATAAAGAATTTCTTAATTTAGAAAAAAAATTCCATGATGGGATTATTTTTCTATTATTACTAAAATCATTATTTCTTATTTTCAGTATTTATTGAAGATGAAAAAAAAAATTAATTAATTAATTTATTTTCGTAAAATAATTAAATGCAGCGAAGTGAAAACTCGAAAATTTAGAGAGAGCAAATGGACAAGAGGAGAGTTAGGAGAGAGAAACTCTTTTGACTTGAGCTGTCTGTAATCTGTATACAATTTGGTAAAAAAAAAAACACTACTCCGTCAATTTCTCTCTCTAACATTCTCACTCTCTCACTCCGTGAGTCAAAAATTCACAAATACACTACAGTAGAGAGAGAAAGTTGAGCAGAAAGAGAGATCAGCATTCTCTCTCACTCTACACTTCAATGCAAATCCTCAATTCGGTAGCAGTAAGTTAATTCTTTATATATATATATATATATTTTTTCTTTTCCTCTAAGTGGAACTCAACTTTGCAAAGCTTTAACATCTGATCTTCAATCACCAACAAAAAGCACCAAAAAAAAAAGCTAGTTTTATTTCACTGTGTATTCACTTTTTTTTTCTTGCTTTGTTATAGCTCATTTTTGACCGCCATAAGTTGTGGGCTCTAGCTCTGAATCATTACTACCTCTACTTTGTGGGGCAAAAAAGCTAGGGTTCTTGAATTAGCGTATATTCTTTGTATTAATCAAACATTGCCTTTGATTGCTGCGGAATTAATTAGCGTTTGTTGGAAGATTTGTGTGTTTGTTTGCAGTTTTGATTGATCGGGTTGTTTGGGGTTTTGAATGAAGGCCCGGAGTGTAGAATGTGATGAGAAATGAGGGTTAGGGCTAGGGTTGGAGTTTGGTTATATGAGAGATGGGGTGTGTGTTCGGAAGAGAGATTTCGTCGTCAGGGCCGCCCAGCTCGGAGATTGTAGTAGAGAAGCGGAGGGAGAAGGAGAGAGAGAGGGATTTGGCGGTTCCTTCGGGGAGGAGAGAGAAAGTTGCAGTTGAAAAGGCGGAGGGTGGTGGTGGTGAGGTTCAGAATGGTGGGGATCAGAAGGAGGAACAGAAGGAAGGGAGTACGCGGCCGAGGGGGGAGAGGAGGCGGTCCAGGACGAATCCGAGGTTGAGTAACCCACCCAAGAATGTGCACGGAGAGCAAGTGGCTGCTGGGTGGCCTTCTTGGCTCTCGGCTGTGGCAGGTGAGGCAATCAATGGGTGGACGCCTCGTCGGGCCGACACATTTGAGAAAATTTGTAAGGCAAGTATCTGCTGGTTTGGTTCCAATATTTTTTTTATGTTCTAATAGTTTTAAACTGTTAATGTCTTATTCTTTGTTGTATGCTTTGGATTTTGTGATTAGATTGGGCAAGGTACATATAGTAATGTGTACAAAGCTAGGGATGCTATAACAGGGAAAGTTGTTGCTTTGAAGAAGGTTCGATTTGACAATTTGGAGCCCGAGAGTGTAAAATTTATGGCTAGAGAGATTTTGATCCTGCGAAGATTGGATCATCCCAATGTTATTAAACTGGAAGGTTTAGTGACATCGAGGATGTCATGTAGTTTGTACCTTGTATTTGAGTATATGGAGCATGATTTGGCTGGACTCGCAGCGAGCCCAGGAATCAAGTTTACAGAACCTCAGGTTAGATTCTATTTGTTTGCTTCCTGATTCTTGAAGTGTTCAACTAAAAATATTTGAACTTTTCTTTGTTAGCTTACTAATTTTAGATTGGGTTGGTTTCTTATGTTATACATCTATGAATATGGTAGGTCAAGTGTTTCATGCATCAGCTATTGTCAGGGCTTGAACACTGTCATAACAACCATGTGCTGCATCGGGACATTAAGGGGTCAAATCTTCTTATTGACAATGAAGGGGTTCTTAAAATTGCTGATTTCGGGTTGGCTTCTTTCTTTGATCCTAATCACAAACAGCCCATGACTAGTCGGGTGGTTACTCTATGGTACCGGCCCCCAGAGCTTCTTCTTGGGGCCACTGACTATGGTGTAGGAGTGGACCTTTGGAGTGCAGGTTGCATTATTGCTGAACTATTGTATGGGAAGCCTATTATGCCTGGTCGCACTGAGGTAACCTGCACTCTTTGACTTTATTTATTCCAGTTATCCCTCCAAGACTTTAAGATGCCTTGATTGGGCCATTTGATATTGCAATGCGTTTATTGTTTCATTGATACCTAAATGTTTGCAGCAAATTAAATACTTCATTACTGTTTCACCTCATGTTAACAAGTTAAATGCCTAATTGGCAGAATGGTGTTTTGTATTTTGTATATTTGATGGCAAAGTTTGTGATACGTCAAATTGCCTTTCGTATGCCTTTACATTAAAGCTGCCCAATTGTTTTGATGGAGAAAAGAATTGTAACATTAGATGTGTGAATGCTATTTTATGATGCAAAGTGTCATTTTGGTTGTGATACTGGTGAGCTGTAAATTAGGCTTGCCCCACATAACTTGAGCAAACCAGGGTGTGATTGATCATCACTGTTTTTGGAGTCTGACAGGAAAAATTATCTATACTACCTTTAGCTTGTTTGTCCTAATTCCTATCAGAAATGCTTGTTTATCTTCATTAAGAGTTAAATTTTTTCGTACTCATGTGCAGTCCATAGAAACCTGTGCTTTAACCTGCCATTAGCCACTCATCCAATGTTGTTACTTCTGTAGAGTTTAGAAGAGCGCAATGGCTTTATCTTAATATTCTTATGCTTATATTGCAGGTTGCATGCTTCTTATTTAAGTATGCAAGAGATACAGCAATTCTATAATTTTATTGGCATTTTATGCCTGCATCGCAATTGGATGTTAAAATTAGAGTGTAACTGTAAGTCTATTGTTTCTCTTGTAACTAATATCATTTTATATTACATAGGTGGAACAGCTGCACAAAATATTTAAGCTTTGTGGTTCTCCTTCTGAAGAATATTGGAAAAAGTCAAAGCTACCACATGCAACTATATTTAAGCCCCAACAATCATACAGACGATGCATAGCAGAGACATTTAAAGATTTTCCACCTTCATCACTGCCATTAATTGAGACACTTCTTGCAATTGACCCCGCTGAACGTCAAACTGCCACAGCTGCGTTAGGGAGTGAAGTGAGTTTTTATATTCCAATAACAGATTGACCTTCTGTCGCCGCTCTTTACTTACTCTGTTTGCAAAATAGGCTCTGTTTTGGCCAAGTTCCACATGCTTTTTTGTTAGTTTTAACTGAGCTTATGGTAGAATAGCTTTTTGAGTAATTCTATCATTTTTCTCTTTGTTTGGGGAGAAGTTGCCTTTTTATTATTATTATTTTTTATTTTCATTTTTATCATATGAATAAAGGAACCAAGAGCAGATGAAAAATGAGGCTTATGGGTTCTCATAGAATTCAACCGAAAAAAAACTAGCAAGGATTGCCATTGCCAAGGAGTTCTTTGAAGTTGTTGCCATATTGTTAGGCTTTTATCTTAGAGATTGGTGCTTTTAGGCACTTCATGAGAGCATGTTCCATAATTTCAAGATTGATCAATTGAGTACTTTATTTTGATAGAAAGTTTTTAAGGATTATCAGTTGTTCTTTATCAATTTGTAATGTTCGTGCGATCATTCTTCTGCTATAAATCTGAATTATTTTCCTAGGTCTTGCCAAGTTATCTTCTTACTTACCTTTTGTAGTATCTTAATGGCTTTGAGTTTCTAAGTTTGCAGAGTAATGTGCTTAATTCATTATCCCTCAAAATTTAATTATGCCTAATCAACCTTAGTTTCCTGCTGTATCATCCATAAAACTTAAGCTTCATGTCATAAGGTGGTGGTCAAATCAAATTACTGGTGATGTGAAAATTGTACTTTGTGATCTTACAATGCATTATATTTCATCATACATCAATGTGCGTCAATTACATGAAATGTCCTTGTTACTTAAGGTCTGGTACCTTTTGTGGTCCCCAGTTAATTGACGATGTTTGGAGGAATGAACTTGATACAACCATATTTATCGGGAAAAAAAAAAACTTGATACAAACGTACTTTCTGGCAATGTTTGAACAAAGTGGCTGTATTTTTAGAGTTGAACTTGTGTTCTCATGCTTGAAAGCTTGAACTTTTACCACTTTTTGCAAATAATGAATGTTAGGTTTGTTCCTAATTTGTCCCTCTGGGAATCCTCGGCTAAGGGGACTAATACTGGGTCATGTCCTTTTTCCTGTTGGCTTTTTATCAATGGGAAAGAATCAACCCTTGATCCTACTCCTCCCTTTCTAATGCAATGGTTGCACCAATGCGCTAATATATTTTTGTCTTTTCCTGCTTTTGTGACTCACGTATGTGTGTTTATGGTACATGGACTCTTGTAAATGACTGAGATATCTGTGTTGGGCACACTAGTACTGCTCACGGGTATGGGCTACATATTTTACATGTTTGGTTGGACATGCACTGAATGCTTATAAAATGGTTCGACTTTATGACACAATTATAAAAAAATGATATTCACCTCTACAAAAAATTCTCATTCAAAGTATTGTCGCCTCCACAATTGTACCGAAAAGTTCTCAAAACTCTACTTTTAAGGGTTATTGTGTCAGTTATTGAAGTAAAAAATCAGGCGTAGTGTGAGTACTTTTAGGTGGTGCAAATATCACTTTTCTAATTGTAAATAAAAGTATGTTATGATGTTCCTTTTGCTTATTACTTCAAAATACGTTATTTACCTTAACATTGGAACTACTTTCCAAAAAGAAGCAAACTTATAAAATAAAAAGTAGCAGAATTGTTTCATCTTACCGATTTTTTTTAAAATTTTTTTTTTGATAACCTGTCTTTTAAGTATTAGCACTTTATCTGTTTTCTTTTTCATGTATGAAAAACACTTGGTTTTCTTTTCTTTCTTTCCATGTTTCTTATACTTCTCATGTTTCTTTCTTTTATGGCTTTATGTTGTTTTCTTTTTTGCAGTTCTTCACAACCAAACCATATGCTTGTGAATCTTCCAGCCTTCCAAAATATCCTCCCAGCAAGGAGATGGATGTGAAATTACGGGATGAAGAAGCTAGAAGGTTTGCGGATGACTTTACTCTTTCTTGTACATACTTAACGCCTTCAGATTCTTATGTTTCAAATTACAATTTTCCCCTCATAACATAAGACTTAATATAAGTAACCATAATGCAGATATTTGAGAGGTGAATAGTTCCGAGAATGCAGAAATTATGGAGAACAAAACTGTTTAATTTTTTTTACTGAAGAACAATCTTACTGCTAATTTTTTTAGAAATTTCATACTAAAAAAAGATTAAGCTTTTCTGAATTCCCCTCTCCCCATTTGAAAATCATTTCTTCTTATAAGCTAAGACAAGATTGGATGAATGTTGATGTCCCACAATCCTCCTAATTGTAACCTGACCTTTTTGATTGTAGACTGAGAGCTGCAGGTAAAGCCAACGCTGATGGTGTCAAGAAAACTCGTACACGTGATCGAGCTGTTAGGGCATTCCCTGCCCCAGAAGCCAATGCTGAGTTGCAAGCCAATCTTGATGTATGTCAGATAAGCTGCTTCTTTTAGCAACATTTTTTTGTACTTTGGTTATTTGAATTGCCCAATATGAACCCTTTGGGGCTCCATTTGTTCATATAGATGAAAATATATTTTCAATTGTAGTTTTTCACATTATATATCCTTCTATTTGGTAATTAAGCAAGAGCTTGTATTAATGTGAACATAGATTACAATTACAAGGGGCATAGCCCAGGCACGACATCTAGGAGTGCAATCCCAAATCCAGAAGACAAAACAAGGCATTCCCTCCAAGATATATTATAAATACTAATTTAGTTCAATTTAAAGTAATCCATTTCTAGTTTTCCACTCTCCATTAATGTCTTGCGTGGAAAGAAACTTGTGGTCAGAATGAACAAAATAATATCACCACACATGCTCTACTTGTTTACCTCCCCACCAAAAAGAAGAATGCTTAATTGGTTGATTTTGTGACTAAATAATCGTGGGTGCATTTGTGGATGAGCAAACTACTGCTCATTATGTGTAGACGTGATGTTTCATGTCAACAATGTGTTAGCCGTGCTCATCATTATAGGGAGATGCCACATTAGATAGGGTTTGGCTTAAAGATCAAATTTGGTTGGCCTTAGTTCTTGTTCCGCTCACAAGCTCCTATATTTGTTTGAATTTTTTTATTATCTAGTCTGGTTAGAGAGGATGGCTCTTGCTAGGTTAGGAACTTGTGATCATAGATAAAAAGTCGTGTTGTTGTAATAAATTGTGAGAAGGCATGTTGAAGATGTTGATTGAAAAGAAAAGATAAACTTATTGGAATTTATGTAATAGAAATTTTGATGAGTTGTTGCATTTTGAGCACAGTACTATGTAATTTTTTTTGACATCCTGTTATGTAAGGGGGAACATGGGGTTAGGATAGAGCATCTAATTGACTGGGAGTAATTAGCCGGATATCTGCAGAGTCGTGGGATGTAGATTGACAAGATATGATTCTAAGCATTTATGTGCTGATTTAGTCCTCTAAAAGCATAGTGCCCTGCTCTTACAACATGTGGCTTTGTGCATGTTCTGTCACATGCAAGCTAGATATGTGTGTATCTGCAGAAACAAGAACTGGAAATGCTTTTTTGTATGAAAATGTTCAGGTTTTGTTTGTTGATGCAGTTCTTGTTCTGTTTCTTGATGATTATTTTTAAAAATCTTGATTACACTTGATTTTTCACGATTAAAGCCTTGTCTCATACATTTTATTGATTTTACTACCATGCCATTTCCCTTTCTAAAGCAGAGGCGGCGTCTAATCACACATGCAAATGCAAAGAGCAAGAGTGAGAAGTTTCCTCCTCCGCACCAGGATGGAACACTTGGTTATCCTTTAGGTTCTTCACATCACATTGATCCAGCTTTTGACCCTCCTGATGTCCCATTCAGTTCCACAAATTTCTCATATCCAAAGGTGCCCATCCAAACTTGGTCTGGCCCATTGGTAGATTCTGCCGTTGGCGCTCCAAGAAGAAAGAAACATAAGGATCCTCACAAGGATAGGAATTCTGCTCGGGTGAAGGACAAGGAAGCCATGTAATATATTGTTTGGTTCTCTACTCACGGGAGCCTTAATATACAAAGCTGCAAATGTGGCTGGACCAGTATATTTTCAATGCGAACCGGGAAAATTGTTAAACTTCATTGAGAGGTATAGTATTTTTCATTTCAGATTTCTTGTTTTCGTCCTATTTTTGAATGGTTGGAGCTTCTCCAGTAATGTATATGTTGATTTTTTTTTTTTCTCTCTGTGTTGACAAACTCTTTTTATCAACTCTTTTTAGACTAGTAAACAATCTAATAAATATATCACAGAACCTGCAATGTTTACATTTTGAGATTTTTGAAATTTAGTTGTGATCACCGAAACAAAATGAAATGCATTCTTGTATTAAGTTTTTCTTTTCTTTTTTGGTTGCACTGCGTGTTCCTATCTATCAATGTAATAACTAAGAAGTGCTCCTACATTGTGTTACTTGTGTATCTTATATGAAACTGAATGTTGTAGTATACTGATTTAGATATTTAACAGCCATTCGTTACTATTATCGTAATTGTTTCACAGAATTTTCTTCGTTAGCTTTGGGGCGTAAATATCTATGGCTGTGATGCTGTGTACATTTTATCCGCGTTTTTCAAAAACAATATTGCTTAATAATTCGACTTTGGAATGTAATTATATTACCACTTTTGATTGTAAACTAGGCACTTATCTTCTAAATGTTGTGTTGTTGAAACAAAGTTTTCACCACAAAGTGACAGTAAAATTTTTTGGAAAGAAGAAAACTCTGTGCTGACTTTAGAGTACTTCTTGAAGCTAGGTCTTTTTAGATGTGATTTTACTCAATTTACCATTAGTGTGTCATACTATATTGCATCAGAAATGATCTATAGGAAAAAATATGGTTGCAAGGGAAATGAAACAATAAGAGGCATATTGTACTTGTAGTGCATAGTTCTTCCTTTGTCATTTTATGTATTGCTTTGCACCTCATAATGTACACAAGCTATGTTGGGCACATAGGAGGCAAGAAATAAAGCACTTAGAGAGCAAAAACACAAGATGTACGTGGTTCGCCCAAAATCAGGGTTACGTCCACATGATATTACGACCGTAGAGAATTGTCAACATTAAATCGTGTACACGAACTTATGTCCCGGAGTTCTTCCCTCTTGCTTAACAAGCCAAGGAAGGTTAATGTTGGAGATTTGGTTGTCAAAAGAGTCTTCAATATCGGAAAGAATTGTTGGATTAAAATCCTCTCCAGCGCTATAGTGCATCTGTCCCAGCCGGTAAGGAGAATTTGTGATACACGTTACGAAAATGTTGTAACGTTTGGCCTTGCATCTCATTATTTTCTTAACGTGTATCTCAGTGTTCTCATCGGTTGGGACAGATGCACCGTAGTGCAGAGGGAAGATTTTAATCCAAGAATTGTTAGGCTTTTTTTGACTGCTGAAAAGATTGGACCCAGCCTATCGTCTTTTAAACACCTGAAGGCCTTTAAGTTTTCATAATTTTCTAATCTATTTTCTCCCCCACCAAACAGAAAATGGAGTGACTGGAATACCTAATCTACATCCATGTACTTTCAAAGACGTTTCCTGATATTCATGTGCATATGGTGAGTTGGGGCATCTAATTAGTAGGTATTAGGTCTTTAATTCAAGCATTGGTGAAGTTGGTTGAGATTTGCAAAAAAGGAGCATTGAATTCTTCGAAGAAACAATAAATTGCTATAGGCTCAACAACCACATCTTTGTTAAGCCCAACCTACTTCTATTGATATAAAGCCATGCCAATGATATAAAAATAAATATAGGAATATAATACATATACGAGACAAATAAAAATATTTCTTTACATTCTAAAGTTAAAAGTCTTTATCACTATTTTTGTCCTTAAAATGTGTATGAGACAAATAAAAATTATTTTTATATGTTTACATCATTAAGAGAGAAGATTTGTGTAATTTATCCCCCTCCCAAATAATTAACGATACATATAAAGCAATAAAAAATAATCATTTTGAAATTTCAATTTTCTGTCCCATACTATAGACATTTTTTTTTCTTCTTTTTTTTAAAAAAAAAAAAAAATGAGAGAGAAATTAAAGATCCAAATATTTTTGGTTTTGATTTGAAAATTATGAAAAATAAAGTGGTTACACTACGATAATTTTGAAATAGAAGTTGAGATATAGGATCAATGGAGTCCCAAAACGATTTTTATGGGTTTAAATAGTTTTTTCTAATACTTGGATAGTAACATTCGGACTCGTGCCTAACCCAATACGAAAAAATTAACTTCAACTTTATTATTGATATATACATCATATACTACAACATAATGATTTGTTCATTACATATATATATATATATATATATATATATATTACATCATAATGACATACTGTACATATAATGTTCGAGTCTATCCAAGTTCAACTCAATTCGACGCAAGTAAAACCTAACACCAACTTGATTTTCAACTCAATTTTTTTTTAATGATTGCTTCTTTTTTATTTTCTTTTATTATTATTATTTTTAAGAATTTGTGTGAATGTTGTTAAAAAATTTTGTAACAAATATTTCTAAACTATCATATATCTATATCTATACTATTTATCTATATCTATATAATAATAATATTAATATTATAAAAGTGTAAACTATTTCTTAATTATGCATTCATACCCCCATTAAAGCCCCTAATGATTTTCTCTCTTTTTATTCCCACAATAGGCCCTAATATCTTTTTCTATTTTTAAACATTTTTTATTCATAATAACAATAAGTCTCAAAAATGATTTCATTCATACCGCATTCAAGCCCCTGATGATTTTCTCTTCTTTTCCACAATATAAAACCCCTTATGATTTTTTCTATTTTTAAAAATTTAACAAAAAAAAAAAAAAAAAAAAAAAACCATTACCTCCCCAAAATTCTACAGTCCTATAAATGATTTGTTTTACTTTCCAAAATTGTACAATCCTATTCCACAATATTGCAAACCAAAATAAATAAATAACAGGCCATGTTTCTTAAAAAAATATGCCCTTTTCTGCATTGTTTACACATCTATAGTCTACATTTTCTATCAATTTTTTGTTCTACGAATCCCTAATTCTGGCCCCTTGGCATTGGCTTTTGGAATTCTTTAACACATAATGCCAGAATATGAAGATATTAGATATGATTTTTGTTAGGTTCTTTAAAGATTTTATCTAGCTAGGAATCAATAATCAATAAATGATTTGTTTTAAAAATTCTTTAATTAGTATTCTAAGAAAGAAAAAAAAAAAAGAAGACCGAGGGGTTCAAAAACTCATAAAGATTTGGTTTTTTTTTTTGGTCAATCAATTCTTTCCCTGTCCTCATTAACCAGAAAAGCCAAAAACGTGAATATTTGTGCTGCAACAATTACAAGTTTGCATGTGACATTTTTCTATCAAGGTAATTTGTTTTTTTGGGGAAAATCTTATTTTGAGTTTGAATTTTAATTTTTATTGATTTGGGCTCTAAACAAAGATGATGTGGTCTCTGATAGTCTCGTAGCAGAAGCATTGAAAAGTTCCTTTTGAATACCATACAATTGAAGAACAAAATGAAGCCAAGAGAATAAAATATTGAGCTTATTTATTTATTTATTTTTTTTATTAATAGTCCAATGGAATATATATTTCTATTACAATGTTTATATTTTAGATGTTATAGTCCTTATCTTTCTTTTGATATTAAAAATTTAGGATAAAATACACTGACACCCCTTGAAGTTTATCAAAAGGATACTCAGATGAAAGTTGACCTATTTTGGGACAATGACACCCCCTCAAGTTTGATATAGCTACCAAAGACACCCCAATGGTAATGAATTGACATTTTTGACCTTTGACTTTTATATTGACCAGTTTAAACGTTGAAATGTCAATTATAACCTTATACCCTTAACCATTTGTTTCTTTCTCCTTTCTGTTATCTCTTCCTCCCAACACCAACACACACATACTGTTACACAGATACACATATACAGATACATATATATATACACACAAAGTTGATCTTGCTTTTTACAGAATAGTAAATCCATCATCGCCGTACTTGCTCGCCGGCTACCATCATCCAAAGCTGATCTCGCCGTCGCCACCATCCATGGCCGAACCATGACAGCACCGACTCCAGGCTTGCACATCACTGAGCTCACCGCCGCTTCCATCACAGCCGACATCATCAAAGCTGAAGCTCTCCGCCGTCACCCTCATCTGTGCCACCATCGATTCATCTTTGCCATCACCCATTAGAGACGCAAAGTCGGCTTTGGAGTCGAGGATAATAACGACGAACTCACATTCGCCAAATCTGTCCAGACCCACCTGTTGAAGAAATTGGCGGCGCCTGTCCTCGACGGCACAGCTCCGGGTCTGCCTATATTCGACGCGATGGCTCTTGGACCGTCCCTAACTCCGGCGCTTGCCCCTGGACCAGGAGGACTTCACAACACTTCATGGCCAATCTGCTTGTCTTCTTCATCGACGCCGTCTTCGATCCGTCATAGATCTGCTTATCTTTGATCTGCCAGAGATGGTAGCCTTCTTTGAGTTTCCAGCTGTGAAGAAAGAGTTGAGGAAACATACAATCCTGCCGCCCTCTGTGTGTATATATATATATGTATCTGTATATATATATATGTGTGTGTGTGTGTGGTTGTGTGTATATGTGTGTGTATATATATGTATCTATATATGTGAATCTATGTAACAATTTGTGTGTGTGTGTTGGCATTGGGAGGAAGAGATAACAGAGAGGAGAAGGAAACAAAGGGTTAAGGGTATGAGGTTATAATTGTCATTTTAACATTTAAATTTGTCAATATAAAAGTCAAAGGGCAAAAATGTCAATTCATTAACATTGGGGTATCTTTGGTAGTTATATCAAACTTGAGGGGGTGTCATTGTTCCAAAATAGGCCAATTTTTATCTGAGTGTCCTTTTGGCAAATCTCAAGGGGTGTCAATGTACTTCACTCAAAAATTTAGGTAATGGATATAAAGATGTGTAGTTAAATCACATCTTATTAAACAAGGAAAAGAAAACAAATGTTATATGTGTAATCTTTAATGGTTTATATAAGGTTTTATTGTTTAATATAGTAGCCATAAATTGATATTGAATTCACAATTATGTTTATATATATATATATATATATATATATATTTAATTATATAGTTTTCATCACGTGCATCGCATATGCATATTCCTAATAAATATTAAATGCCTAAAGAGTTTTAAGTTATTTATTTTTAAGGTTAATTTCACTGACCCCTTAGGTTTGACTAAAT